TATACATTTCATTACAGTACTTTGAAAAAAATGTTTTGCGACACACATTCTACATTTCTCTTGTTATAAATTGATAAAATATTTCTATGGTAAAACATTACAGAATTTATTCTGTAAAATCTGACTACAGACGTTCTACTTACAACTTCTAAAACACATTTCTATTAGGCTGTAACACCGTAATTAATCATTACAAAATTCCTCTTAATTATTCTATGCTATAAATAATAATTTTAATACATAATTCAATTGCTATGAAAAAATGCCCACAAATTTCTGGACATGATTAGTGAAATAAAAAGGGGAAATAAATTATTGCTTTTAAAATTTGATAAATACAAAACAATCAACAACTCTTGCAGTTAACTATTTACAACACAATTTTCTTGGACAACAAAGAGATACTCCACATGAATTGTCTGTCGTACTCAACAAAGAAAATTTATCAGACTTTTCCTCGTGATGTTTAGCATTGTCTGATGGACCCATGGTTTGTTTAATCAGATGTCTGAAACAAGCATCCATTAAAAAATCTGGTTCCATACATTTCCAGCTCCATGTGATGGTACTCTTCAACTGCAATCTGTAATAGAGCCAGATCGCAATCATACCCTACCCACCCCCCCCCCCCCCAACTTTCAGAACCACACTGCAGTTGTAAATCACCTTCTAAGCATTCAAATTTAACATTGTAGACAAAATCTCATTAACAATACACATTTATTATTCAATTTACAACATCTAAACCATGTTAGGATTATTTGACCAGCACTAGCATAGCAAAACTTATATATTACTCAATACTGAAAGATTTGAATGAAATGAAAAACATTTACCTTGTAATTACTTTTAAAATATCAATTTTATCAGAGACTAAATTCAATTGTAGCATATTTTTATGTCTTTGGCGGTGATAATTACACATTAATACATATAATGTTGTGCAAAGCATTTTATTATGATTGTCATATATCTATTCTGGAAAAATGTTTTGTTTGAGATGCAATATGTAATGGATAATTACATATTTAAAGTTTTTTATTCAGAGCTTAATGGTGTAAAATACCAGTTTCAAACATGATTATCTTACAAAGGAATGTTGAAATACAATATATATAATTATAATAATAATAATAATAATAATAATAATAGTAATAATGATTATAATATTAATAATAATAATAACACCAAAAATAATAATTCATGTACAGTAGTAATATAAAATAATAATACACGTTCAGTAGTATTTCTTAATTATATTGCAGAAAGGCAATACAGGTTGATCAAGAAAAAGAAGATATAAATATTTAGTTGGTATAAAAATAAAATTTCTTGAACATGGATTCTTTTTAAAATTTAATTTTTTAAAATATGATTTCAAACATACATAATTTTCAAAGTCAAATATTTATATACTATATTATATATAATTGATTACTTTGATTACTTTTTTGTTGGATTTCTACGGAAGCACCTAAGTGCTATTCGACTTGACGACTTGCCAAGATAATTTATGTTGTCAAGACGACATAATATACATATCATGTAATGAAATTAACTATCGTGCCAAGACGACATACAATTTGTATTATGTCGACTTGTCAAGAGAATTTATCTCGCCATGACAACATATCATTTTCACTATGTTGACATGGCAAGATAAATTATGTCCCCATGACAACATAACATTTTTACTATGTCGACTTGACAAGAGAATTTATCTTGCCATGACAACATATCATTTTTACTATGTTGACTTGGCAAGATAAATTATGTCCCCATGACAACATAACATTTTTACTATGTCAACTTGACAAGATAATCTATCTCGCCATGACAACATACAATTTTTATTATGTCGACTTGTTAAGATAATATATCTCGCCATGACAACATAACATTTTTACTATGTCAACTTGACAAGATAATCTATCTCGCCATGACAACATACAATTTTTATTATGTCGACTCGCCATGACAACATAACATTTTTGGTATGTCGTCTTGGCAAGATAGTTGGTCTCGACATGATATGTATATCAAGATAACTTATGTTGTCAAGTCGACATAATATACATATCATGTCGACATACTAAAAATGTTATGTTTTCATGGCGAGATGGGTTATCTTGTCAAGTCGAATGGCACTTAGGTGCTTCCGTAGGTTTCATTTTCTATGCTATTTTTATTCTTAAAATATCTGCAACAAATTAAGAAATGACTACAAATGCTGAAGGTGGATTATTATTATTTAAGCAAAATTCGTGATAGGTTCAACGGTTGCTTTCAATCTTAAAACCTCGTTCACGCTAGAGCAATTTTAGATGCCAGTCATCAGTGTTAATATCCATGGCAGAATGCAGTGTTCAGTAATGATGCAAATACACTGTGCTCTAAATACATGATGTTGCAGTCTCATGCAGCTGAACTTTCCTCATAATAGAGGGGAAATGAGAAAATAGTGGAACAGCCGCTGATGGCAGTTGCATCAAGTCAATTGCAGTTTCTTTTCTGTTCGGGTCACTTCCTTGTACTAGACTATAAAATTTTATTTGACAGAAACATGTTACATGCCTAACTATGGTCATGATGATGTCACATCATGACCATATTTAGTTTTAAGTGCCAACTTGGGGATAACTAACATATATACTGGAATATTATGGAATAGCAGTGTATATATGGCGTTTGATTCAATGGCCGGTGCTATAATAAAAACTTCTAGTAGCCTTCATAATAACACACAAAATCAACATTATTATTATTATCATTATTATTATAATTATTATTAAAATTCTCCATCATTATTTGCATAAATCAAACTGTTGTTTGGAAAACTGTACTTGTAGATGAGTTGCTTTCTTGGCTTGTTTCTGATCCTGTCGGCGTTGTTACCGACGAATGTTCACTGGTTGAATTTAAACGTGATGTGTTTTCCTCTGGTGTATTATTATTATTTTGATGGTTAGCAGCTGCAGTTGCTCCGGTGGTCTCTGATAATGTTAAGTCTGCAAGTAGAAAATTTAGTTAAATAATTTAGGTAAAATAAAATTATATTTCTGGCATATGAAGTACAAACACAAGCAGTGTAAATTTCAACTGCTTTTTAATAGCATCAGTCAAAAATGGCCGCATGTTTGAACAAGGGATGGCAAAACACATGTAACAAGTGGGTTATATTAAATGTTTTAATTTTATGTCCATTGCTCCATTGAGGCTTTAGACACATAGCTATCATCTAACTTGTAAGTTGTGAGATAAATCTGGTTGGAAGAATGATGGAATGTGTCCTAAGCTAAAGATAGAAATGAAGTCTTCCAAAAGTAAACCTGCAAAATATGATGCTATGCCTACTGTAGACAAGACCTAAATATTTGGTTGACTAAGTTTAAACATCTTTATTATCTTATTACTATTATTATTATTGTTATAATAATAATAATAATAATAATAATAATAATAATTATTATTTCAGCTTCACAAAAACAAAGGCACTAATGACAATGAAGACATTGATCTTTCAGTAAACAATAGACATTTGCGGAGTATCAAACATAAAAACTGATAAATCAGAGCATGTAATAGGCAAGGACAAAAATATGCTCATGTTCAACAGACACACACATTTATTGTATAAGATCAACCCACAATTCTGGTATCAGCAGGCAAGCACCATCATTGAAAACCCACATCATCAACTCCACTGAAGTTGAATAACGAAAACATCAAACAATTCTTACCAGCACTTTGGACGCTTGGGGTACTTGGCTCAGAGTCCCCAAGTAACATGACCGTTTCTCTTGTATCCTCAATTTTTCTATTGTTAGCATTAACTGTTGGCATGGTGATGGTCAGCTGTTCATAAGGAGGTGGACGATCAGCATGTTGATCTTTGTAAAATCTAAAAAAAAAAAAGTAAGTAAAAAATGATAAATAACTAAATTGAAAATATTGCTTATTTACCAGTTGAGGGCAGTCGGCAAACAGTGGTAGCCATTGGGTGTGCTCAACCGTGAGATCTTTTCTGACCTTTAGTCCCTGGTTCAATTCTATTGCTGTTTTTCTTGTGTTTACAATAGTGTAAATAGTAATATATTCCTTCAATTGTATTATTTTATATTTTATGGCAACACTTAACCAAACAAATTAAATTTATCACTTACCGAGGGTAAACACTCAAAGTCAACAAACATAAGATCATACAAACAAAACGAATGAGGAAACATCTTTTATTACCAATGATTAATAAGTTAAATGCTTACATATATGGGGGCGGGGGCTCACGGAATCCCGAGCCATCAAAATCATCCGGTGGTGGTGGCGGACCTGAGCCAGGTTCGAAGTCCACCTGAGACAGCTGTTGCAATCGTTCACGCCCTTAATAATGAACAAAGCAAATAGTATGGTATGACAGTAAACACTTAAGTCAACTTGCTCATGAGTCAACAGGAAAAAGAGTTAAGTACACACTAAATTTAGAAACCAAAATGAGGTATACATACAAATGGTGAATAAACATTTAATGTTGTCATTGTGTTTAACTAAGAAATACTTGTTCAGCTATTTATGATAGCTTGGTAACAGGGAACTAATAATAAGGTTAATTTTGTATGAGATGAAATGCAAACAATTTAATTACTTTAAGCTATAGTAAAATCCCTCCTTTGGGACACTCCTATTAAGGTAACACTGCAGCCAACCACTATTCAGGAGACACCACTGTCACGATGGTGTCCCCTAAATACGGGCTTTACCGTAATTAAAACATCAAAATCAAATTCAATATTATAACTTTGTATAAAACATTTAGAAAAACAAATTATTTGACTAACAATTATACCTGAAGAATTAAATAAAAATAATTGATAAAACATTACCACTTACTAAATCGCAAATAAGCCATTCTTTTCTGCCGCATCCTGTAAATCATTATAAGAACGACACCAAGGATGAAGAAAGAGAAAGCCATTGTCAACATCCATTGCATATTGCTCTCGAGACCAGTTTTACCTGTAATAAAAAGCAACAAAATCATTAAGAAAAATAAAAAAAAAAAAATATTAAATTTTGTCAAAAGTCAAATAAATACAAATAGTATGATTGTTAAGACTTGCATAGCGCTTAATGTTAACAAGCGCTTGACATTATTACGCCAGGTTACTGGATTAAACACATGCTTGTGTCCATGGGGAGTATTCCATAATGGTAAAGCTGTAATAATCAGAGCATTTTGTGCTTAAACCTACTAGCACTACAGTAACTGTAGGTAACAATTTATATTCCTTGGTGGAGAGAGACAACAATAAATTACCTTGCCATGCATACAAGTGAAATGCAGTACTGAGCGGTTGGCCGAGAGGTATTGTTCCTGCTTCTTGCGCTGAAAACTCCGGTTTGAACACGGCATGTGTGACAGGTTTCAATTCAAATAGCTCCCCGGATAACCCTCATAATTGAGAGTTAGGCGGGTTAAGGGCAATGTTTGTATCCGTATGTGTCAGTTAAATGCTGTAGTCAAGTCGGGTGGTGATGCACTGAGGCTGCCGCAGGCCCCCAAGGGCTCAGCCCAAATTACCAATTTGAATGAGGACAAATAAAGAATTATTATTATCATTAATTTTATAATTATTATTATTGTTATGGATTGTACTGCTCTTACAACCTTTTGATTGCGAAAAAAAAAAAAGAAGCCTTTCAGCTGTCTCACATGATTCTAACATGTTCTTCTCACGGATGTACCTACCATTTTCATTCTCATCTTTATCCCAAATGCATGTGTATTTACAGCACTCCATGTCATCAGGTATGAATCGGTTGCAGCTAGGTTGCGCGCACATTGCTGACATACAGTTCATCGACTCCCCACAGGTACATGTTGTGCATACGTCCAGGCCTTTGGGTCTGAACCGTTCACCATTTTTGTACACCCGGTCTGCTCTGTCCAGGCATATATATTCCACGTCTGCATCTGTGAAAATATGGAGTCAAGAGTATGGCGTAGAAAGATCAAAAGAATCTTGGTCGAAATGAACGCATTAAAAAAGATAATTTAAATACTGTACTGGGGGAGAAATGAAAAAAATAAATATGTTTTAAGAAACAAAATTCACACCAAGTTTAAAAATTATTGATTAATAGTACTATTAGGCTCACACTAAATTATCAAATGATCAAGAGACATTTAAATATCTAACATGACTGGCTGATTTATATGGGTGGAATTGGAATTTAGATCATAAAATTTCCCTTTTTATTATAATGTGTGATGTTTATAATATTTGACTGGAAAATGAATGAATGAATGAATGAATGAATGCATGAATAAGTGGATAAATAAATGTATAATGGATGGGTGAATGGATGAATGAATGAACGATTGAATAAATGAATGAATGGATGATTAGATGAATGAATGAATAAATAAATAAATGAATGATGATTCTTTTTTTTCTCAATAATAATAAAGTACTCCCTACCTGCGAATGAATACCTTTGTTATATAATCAAAACAAAAATATTTTCAATTTACCTTGTTGGCATAAAAATTCATTCTTATTTTTGCAGTTGGATAAAACAACATCACTCCTTAATTTCTTGCTAAATTTTACCAAGACACAGTGTCTTTCAAAACCTGTGTTGTTTGCTTTTACAAACGGGGCATCTGTATAATCAGACTCTCGTAACTTATCATTCAACCTCTTGGTCAGTTCTTGGTCTAATGTCTGATTTTGACTAGCCTCTAACCAACTGGACCCATTCACTAATTGAGTATACTGGTAACCTATCCAGAAACTATATTCAGCCAAATCTTTCCAATCATGTTCCATTAAAAAGTCTAGTTCTTTTTTGTTCTCGGCTACGGCAAGGTGAGCCTTCTCTCGAGAACATGTTAAATCTGCACCGGCGAAACTTAGCTCATTCGAAAAGTATTTGTAACACATTTCTTTGTTGTCAACTGATTCTAGTTTCCATTCATCTGGACAGGACACTGGAATAAAAATTTAAAAATATGAATTAATTTATAAAATTGTACATATTCCCTGGAAAGGATAACATTTTCATCTTAAGTTGCTGCCTAGTTCATGTACAGTATTGTGTATTGTACTATATTACTGTGGTGTGGATTGGTGTAGTTAGATGCTTGCCTTCAAATTCTAGGGTCCTGGGTTCAAATCTTTTTTAAAAACTAAAATAGAAATTCATTCCCGAAAGCCTGCTGCACATCAGAGTTGTATGTTTACGGTAAATATTATTCATAGAACTTGGCCATAAGGACATAGATCTCGTGAACAGTGGTTGTATGGAAGACTTTTGGCATTCACTTGAAATACTGTATCTCTCATGTTTAATAATTTTTTGCACGAATCCAATGTCTTACAAATTATAAGTATGGTTAACTTCAAAGAATGACAAATGTCAGGCCATAACTGATTCTATGTTTCGTTCTCTATCTGAATATTGTCAGGAACGAATATAGTCCATAGATACCACTTAAATACCAGAATCAAAACAAATAAATTCTCACTAATCAGAAAGTAGGCAAATCTAATTAACAATGTAGGAGACAACATGTACTGCTGATAAACAAAATGAAAAGGCATAGGTAATGCATGGGTAATGTAAGTGTCCATGTCTTACTGTGTGCTAACAGCTTATGACTTTTGCATAAGGCTAATTATCATAATCTTTATACTAACACATAACATCCACACTTTAAGAGCTAGGAAAGTTTCAATGTTCTCTTTCAATCCCAATGGAAATCTTAAATTTGACAGGAAGACGTTATGAGCCTGGACTTTTTTGAACCCCTATTTTGAAAGTCTCTAATTCTGCAAACCACAATTTAGTATATATTACTCACCATTTTTAGGTAACGAATGGCTGAGATATTCAGGTTTTCTAATTAGATTATAGGGAGACGTTGTTGAGTCTATTGCTGGACTGCATAACACTAACAATGGCTGCACAACTGAAAACCAAAGATCGAATCACATAAACTACAACAACACAATCCAGATTGGATCTCTAGTATGTTATTAAATATTAATAATGTTAGTTTAATAAATAAATGTGCAAAAATACACAAACACTCTCCCAAAACTGCAGTGTAAAATTATATTAATTTTTTAAAATATGCATTAAAGACAAAATGTGCTTTTCACGACAGCAAATGACATGTAGGCTATGCCTACTGCTGTACTACTGTATAAAGTAGATTTCTGTGCAATTTGTTGTCTTCATCACTGGAGTGTAATTAGTAGTGTACTGCTCCTAGTGAAGAATTGTTTGAATGTCATCGCAAGATCTGTTAAAATAAATCAAGCAACTCTGAAAAAAGGAAGTGATGTACATACATCATCTTGATTCTATAATTTTTTGCACTTTAATTTTTTTTTTCTTTTTCACTTCATTATTACATCACACAAAAACGAATTGCAAATGTAATTGGTTACTGTCCCTCCGTAGCAGCATAGCATGCAACCTGTTGGTGTATACTATGATTTACCACCAACCGACTTTCTGTTTTCCTTTTGAACCTTTCAAAGGCCTAGGCCACTAGCTAGGCCTATATATATAAAATTAAAGAAAAAAAAAACATGTCCTGGGCCTTCATCATCATCATATCTCAGCTGCAGTCCAGTGCCTTAATCAAACCAAGTAATATGAGCCTAGGCGGAGGCTACACACACATCATTGGCCATGGATGGCATCATTCACATCATAGTAAATATGGCCTTGCCTAGGCCTAGCTCTACAGCCTAGGCATAGGCTAGTTACACCGCTTATTTAATACCTCCTTGGTTACACTACTACCAGAAGGGGAGCGGTGCACCATCATCCATCATTATGCATTGTTATTGAGTCGGATTCAACTTACCTGCTGAAACAGTCACGACAAACATCAACAAATTTTCTATTTTATTCCAATTCATGCTGGACAATAAGTTCAATCCCAAAACAAAATTTAGGGTATTTTCATGATAACATATTTTTTATGAAATGCGTTATCTTTAACCTAGCATATAAGCTGAAAATTCTAACTTTTTTCCAAATTATAAACTAGAAAATGGCTTCTCTCTGCGTACGATGTTCGATGTTTGAGGACCCATGAGGTCAAAATGTCGTTTGGCCACGTGACCAAAATAGTACAGCAATTGATGGCGAGCGGATCGATACCATGAGTGCGAATGCTCACTGTTCGAGCAGTCGAGCGTGATAGAACCAAAATTACAGATACCAAACCCGAGCGAATCATAGGTACATGTACGAATGTTGCGAGCCACTGCCCCAAAAATCACGGTCAAGTAGTTAAAAATCACCTAAAATCAACTTATTTTGCGATTTAGCGCCCGCAACTGATCATCGAGCCCCACTTCACCTCGCGCCCCCATTATCCCCCCCCCCCATTTCAAGTCTTCGGATATGCTACTGTAATTTTTCCCCTGCCAATCAGCAGTAGTGGTGCCCCTAATTTTTTCAAAATTATAAAATATTATATTATATTATAAAATTATTACTATAATTATAAAATATTATATTATATATAAAAAAAATAGAGTAAAAATGAAAATATAACCAAATCTAGGTCTAAGGATCATCTAAGGAGCCATAATTATTCTTACCAGCTCAGCCCAGGCCTAGGTGAAACTCTGCATCTGTGAACTTCCCCCTGGCCGTTCACTCTATTTTAATTCATGGATCCGTTACTGTAATCTATCAAAACGGTTTTAGGTCAAGGCCTACTACAGTAACTTTTTTCGTGTGGATATAACCTTTGTCTTTATTATAAATTTCACTGTTTTGTTGACCGATTTTGAAGTTGTATATTTCAAGGTGTGAATCTAAAACCCTTTTTTTAAATATTTCAATTTGCTCATAGACATCTATTGTAACTTTTATATGTGCGTTTTTAAATTTCATTGTGGTTTGTTGATCAATTTGTATATTTGTCTTTGGATTTGCGTAAATCTGTTAACCAATTTTTTATATTTTAATATGCATAGGCCTAACTTTCTATTATATAATTTATGATGGTGCCATTTTGTCAATTTTCTAATATTGGTGATGTTGACCACTATGACGACGATGATACACTGTGTTTGCATGAGCAATGTAATTTCCAGTTTGGATGAATAGAATAAATTGACTTTGACTTTGATGGAATGAATTATCCGGAGTCTTAGTTGCACTACATAAATTCGTACATGTTGTCATTGTAATCGTACAACTGGTATCGCTCGAGAGCCGAAGTATCGTTCCTCGCTAGCTGTCGCTGTTTTCTTTTGTGTATGTTTTGATCTGTACTGAGAGCGGAGCGGTTCTTTTAGCTATGCATAATTATGAATAAATTGGTTGCGAGATTAACTTCCATTTAGAGTAAGTATTTTAAGTATGGATAATGATGGCGGAGCCTACTATATATTATTAGAGGGAAAGAGAGAGAGATAGAGAGTAGCCTCAGAACAGAGAGACGGAACAGGTATCTAACTAAACTAGGCTAGGCTAGGCAGCTGCTGCAGCAGGTCACTTCGGCCCAAAAAAATCGGCCCACACTAATTCGGCCCAAACCAAATCGAAGCAAAACCAACTCAGCCCCAGACGACACTTCGGCCCAAACCCCACTCGGCTCCAAACCAACTCGCACCAAAACCAGCTCACCCAAAAGACAACTACCCAAATGATACGGAATTACCTAGATAGATGGATAGCGCTCGCGATTACCCATACCCAAAATGACAATATTATTATATTATTATTATTATTTTAGTATTATTAAATTATTATAATTATTAATATTGTTGATTCAATGATAGGTCTAATATTATTTTTAGTATAAATTATTCTTATTCATTTTTATATTATCTGAATTATATATTTTATAATTATTATTTTTTAGTATAACTATTCTTATTATTCATTTTTATATTATCTGAATTATATATTTTATAATAATTATTATTATTATTGTTTTTTTTTTGTTTTTTTGTTTTTTTTGTTTGTTTTTTCAATAAATCTAACACTTTGGAATTAAACAGGTGCACTCATGTTATTTCTGGTAAATATTCTTTTGGTAAACTGTTTATTTCAGATTGGCAACACCCAATATGTTTTTCGATAAACGTAGCACCTTGCAAAAACTGACAATAAAATTCAACTATTCATTTCACAACACAGGGACCACCCAACTATTTTAACCTGCCGTCTTGAATAAATATATATCATATATAAAATATAGAGTTGTCGTCTGGGCTGAGTTGGTTTTGGTCCAAGTTGGTTTGGGGCCGAGTAATTATAATAATAATACTAAATTAATAATAAACCATAAATATAATATAATAATTATAAAATATATAATCAAGGCAATTCAACAGAAGGACGCACATCTCGGGACATCAAAGGTTATAACTCTGGCATCGACATTCTAGGCGCACGTGCGTCCCTGCACGCTGAACGTCACAAAAACCATAGCAACCAGACCATAAACCGTCAGCGTACGTGACGAATTACCCACGCGCGTGTTAGTTGCCATGATAATCGCGCGTCGTGCGGTGACTACAAAGGCCTAATGATATTTTGCACTAACATTAGTGCATAAAAAAAAATAAATAAAACGGATGGCACACATAGACTAATAATTGAAGGCTGTATTCGCAACTAGTATCAGATTGTCAATGCCACAGTTAAGATCAAAGGACTGTACGCACGCGCTATGTTCGAGAGCGGAAATGTGCGTCCTTCTGTTGAATTACCTTGATATAATTATGTATATATAATATATAATATTAGGCCTATATATGATATTAATAATTATAATAATACTAAAATAATAATAATGAATATAATAATATAATAATTATAAAATATATAATTTGGGTAATATAAAAATAAATAATAAGAATATTTATACTAAAAAATAATATTAGACCTATAAATAATATTAATAATTATAATACTAAAATAATAATAATTGTCATTTGGGTAATGGGTAATTGCAATCGCTATTCATCTGGGTAATTGCAATCTCTATTCATCTGGGTAATTCCATATCATTTGGGTAGTTGTCTTCTGGGCCGAATTGGTTTGGGCTGATTTGGTATTGGGCCGAAGTGACCTGCTACTGAAGTTTGTGTGCCTATCATAGCCATGTTTTTTTTTGTGTTGTCCTTGTTGAAGTCTTCTTAAAAAGGCTTTAAAGTTTTATGTCATGAATGTTGCAGTTGCAACTTGATTCAACTCAACTGCCAGACTGCTGTATACAGTAATAGAGTAAGGCTTGTGCAGGGAATATATATCATATCCTCTGCTCAAATTAGGCCTAGGCTAGGCCTACAATTCCATCCATGAATTTAGGAAAAAATGGGCCTATTTCCGGACACCTTGCAATGTTTACATTGGCCTATCTGAAACGCTGGTGGCGTCCTACCCTGGTAGGCAGAAGATTCACGAAGTATATGAGAAATGCATTGGAAATCAGGATGCTGGTTATCCTGTATTTTGTTGTGCCAAAAATACGAAAGCTACATGGATGAAATTCACATATATTATAGTTACTGTATATCTATTAGGAATCGGCAAAGAAAAAAAAACAATTTTGCAAATTATATTTTTTATATTTTCATTCGATTTTTAAAGTCATTTTCGTCTTATCTCTTCTGATGTTGGAAAGTTCAAGCACGCTAGGCCAAGAACATGAAAGCTTTATACACAAAGCTACCACATTTGCCCGTGGTCCGATGGAAGCTTACAGCAACATAGACCGCAATTCAGCCTTCGAGTTAGAATGAAAGAAAAAAAACATTTTCAGGATATACGTAATCCATTTGACTGTCTTATTATTACTTCTATTTAGGCAACTATAATATTCACCAAACTTTCCAACATCCAAACAGATAAGACGAAAATGTATCATGTTTTCATAAGTAATTTTCCATAATGTGCTCAACAAATATAAATTTAAGAATGTGATGTCAAAATAAATAAATAAAAAATAATTTTTCAGGTCTGGAAAGTTTGTATAGTGTGACTGACCATCCAGATGTAAAACGAAGCAATGGCCTCATTATGGGGAGTAACTAGTTCCACAAGTACTTCCCCTAATTATTCAGGGCAATGGAAACGTGTTGGTACAATACCAAACCCATGCATACAAGCACAGCCTGCCACTGTAGATGTAGAACCGACCTGCGATCCAGCACACAGAAAACAATGTTTACCCAATCAATTTATGGGGTAAGATACTACCTTTCTTTAGTTACCCTCATTATCATTATCAAACGTATATTCATTTTCATCTTTATCTTCTTGTGGATTTTTAAAATTATGTAGACAGAAGATTTGGTTGAAACTACAAAAACAATTTGGGGACTGAATATTACCATTTAAAAATCATTTATTTAATGTAATTTTTTCTTTTTTTCTTTTTTTTTGTGCATCAAATAAAAGTCCCAATCGGATGAGAGGCCGAAAATATATAACTGACTCTTCAGCCAATACATGATCAGAATGTGAAAGTTCAATATACATTTTATTTTTCAGGTATTGGAATGGTTTAGATTCTGGAAAATTGACATCTACACATCAGAGGTCACCCTCCAAGAGACACTATGACCTTCCAGGGTAGGTGCAAGGGCACAGGGCTGACAAATATTTTCCTGAAATGATTTTGAAATTTGAGGTTGCTATTTCCGAGCATTTTTAAAATGCTAAAATCCTAAAAAAATCCCAACCTGAGCCCCAACCATAGTGGGGCAGAGGTGTAGACACCTGCCTCACCAATAACTAAATGTTTCTGTCACCCTTGAGGTGACATCAATATGCATTAAAGGGCTAATATTTTCCTTAAGATGTTGGTTATATTCGGATCCTAACACCTTTTTTAGAAACTATTTTAAAAATTTTACAAAATCGGAATATAACAGAGATATTCAGAATTGGAATACTATATTATTTGACATTCATTTCTAGTAAAAGTCCCTTTTCTCCTTTTTTTAAAAAAAAGAACTCATTAATATTGTAGTCTAAATTTACACCAATCATATGACAAGGATCTATCTAGGTGCAGTATAAAATAATATGTTACAGTATATAATATTATGCTTGGAGTGAAGTTGTTTTTAGGGAAAAAATGGTACTTATATGATTTGGACCCAGAACTCTGATATTGAAGTCAGGCATTTAACCACCTTTATTTATTTATTTATTTATTAGACTTTACACTGACAATGCAATTTAAAACAGGACAGTAGCCAGTAATAGGGAGGGCAAACAGGTGCAAAGCACCTCAAAAAGCAGGCCAGATCATAATTACTGAACTATCCATAACTATAAACCACAGGAAATAATATACAATATATAATGTTAACAAAATTTAAAAATAAAATAAATAAATAGATAAATGACAAATTCAGTTTGACAAGGACACCAATATACAATTCAGGAGATGATGACCAATGTGGGTCCCTTTCAATCTATCAATTTTCAATCTATCGATTTTATTTCCAATTTCAGCAACAAATATTACAATGATATGAATAATTTAATTATAAAAATTATAGTAAATAAAATGATCAAATCAAAAGGAATTGGAAAAATGCATACAAAACAAGTAAAACACTTTTATCATGTAGCCCTAATAATAATAATAAGTAATAATAATAACAATAATAATAATAATAATAATACACATGTATACATATGGATTGTATAGCTTTGAGTTAATACAATCATGTATTTTGTTATGCCTGAATCCCCTATTTTTAATGTTGATATTTCAGTGATGGTGAACCAACAACAAAAAGGTTGCTAAGTGAAAGAATGGCAGCTGGTATGAGGAAACTGTACATATCAGAAGACCAGCCTTATGGAAAATCTTCCACAGAACATAGTGTCCCATCAAATGGGTTATGGAAAGATGAAAGAGTGTTTGGTGCTGGCATCAATTTTGGAAGTGACCCGTGGATGCAAGAAATAGATAACAGGTGATTTATTTAATAGCAATCTCATCCATTCTTCATATTCTGTGTTGTTAATGCATGTTTCCTGCACTTTGACCCCTGGACAGAGGTTGCCTGCCAGATCGTAAGCATAGACATCTCACCCCAATACATACTGCTTAGTAGAGGGCATCCTCTCTTAGAAACAGATTTTAATAATGATACCGATTAGGTCTCTTGTCGATAAAATAATTGTGTGAATGATGATGACAACGACAGTGGTGGACCAAATCTCACATTCATTGTGAGACTGGCATTAATCAAATTCTTCAAGCTCTGGCTCTCAATTACAAAAGACTTGTGCATAAATAAGCACAGAGGTGAAGAAAGGAGCGTTCATGTTGCGGCCCTGTTCCTACCAATCCTCTCACAACTTACACATTAAACTCGTATCGTTGAGTTTTTGAATTAACCAACATAGCTCAACAGAATATGTATAGACTCAATAAGAAGTGGCAATTCAAAGAAATTCCCAAAAAAATCATTAAAAACAATTTCTTGTTTGTGATGTGTACTCTCTGTACCGTGCAGTGGCGGCGCCAGCGGGGGGTGGGGGGGCAGCAAGGGATTAAGCGCCCACCTCAAGCTCCCCCCCCCCATCGGACAGAGCTCGTCGGGCAGTTGGACTAAACAATATACAAAAAATAGGCCCACACCAAGCCAACACATGTCTGTTACAATCAGAGAGTGTCGTTTCTGGCCATCCAGAGGTACCTATTCTTAAAATAATCTCATTTGGGATGGGGAACACCCTCTCAAACCCTTCCCCCAGCTCTGGCCTACGAGTCCAAGTCCCCCTGTCGGACAGCATGCTTTGAGCGCTTTTGAGACTCTGTATGTAAAGCGCTATGTAAATTTAACTAAATTACAACTTAACATCTCCTCTTGGTCACCTTTTATATATATTGTTAAGTGCCACCAATGCAGCCATTGTGTTAACCAAGATGACAAAACAACTATTGTTGCTTGGTTTTGATGATGATGACGTAGAATTAATTTTTATTAAATATTTTCAGGTTAGATGCGAAAATTGATTCTGATGAAAGTGGAAACGAAGATGATCACCCCCGACTGATTATTAAACAAGATTTTCTGAACGTCTTTAAGTCGCAGAATGTTGAGCCCTCACTTCCCCCACAGATCTTATCCGACATGTAAGTACAGTACCTCCTAGTTTCTGTTTGATTGTAATTTGGGGATTATATTAAATGCTCGGTATATCTATTAAAAATGTAAATATTTTGTTAAATGATTTGTTTTTTAAGTGGACAGTGGCCTTGAAATGACAGACTGATTGGAGCAATTCATTTTGTTGGCCAATCTTAAAATGTTCAATTTTCCCGCAAAATGCGTGGGAGAAGATCTAGGAAAATTCCCCCTTGGCACACCCCCCCTCCCCGTCTAGTGCCGCCACTGGTCACTGCTGGCTGTTTAGCTCCTCAATGTCCTCCATCTTCTCTTGCTCTATAAAGCACTTTAGAATTTACTACACTAATATGTATTTTCTATCTTGCAAGTAACAATTGCATGTACAATATGTATTTTATTTTAGGTACATAATCTGCTTTGTTTAATATTCATAGCAGACTTGGCTTGTACACAAGATGATTCAATCAGCTGTAGGCTCTGCATAGAATATTTAAAAGAATAGGTGTCCTTTCAGCAGGGGTGGCGCCAGCGGAGAGGCCAGGGTCCCCCGTAGAAAAAGCATAATTTGTCGAGGAGAAAAACAAATTATATGTCCTATATAATCCTGGCGCCACCCCTGCCTTTCAGTACAGTAGATTAATTACAGGTCTTTCTCCTATTGACTTTGTTACCCCGAATGAACAATTTTGTTTTATCTATATAATATTTTTTTTCCTTGAACACTATCAGAAAGCCCACCCTAACCTTCTTGGATAAGAAATCAAGGGAGTTTATATTTTACATTATATTCAAGCTAGATGGTCAAAAGTGGATAAAATCAGAATCAATCTAATTGTATTTGTAATTAAATAGTACAGTCAAATATGGTATTTACCTTTTTTGTTCAGACATGTCTTTGTTGAACAATTTTTTATACAGTATATATTTTTTAGATAAATTTTGTGGGATAAATTTATTAAAAGGTTCAACCAAATGTGTTGGTCTAACAATACAGTATATGGATCTAATGACCAGGGGTAATAACATTAAAATCACTTAGTGACTTCCTTTGATTGTCTTATGAGTTATATACTGTATTATTAAAAGTGTCGCAGGCAGGAGAAAGAATCTTTTTTAAATAAATGAGGCCAAATATAATATTTCGTTTTATACACTGCTTCTGTTGTGAATATTAGAATAAGATTTACAATTGGATGATATTAAATAAACACACAAAAAAAATGCTATTGATCTATCTACTGTATACTTTTTTTATTCTCTTGCATAAAATAATAACATAATGTACTGTACATACAAAATTTAAGAAATGTAAAGTTATTTACAACATTTTAAACCAAGATGACACGCAAAAAGGCGGAGGAGGGATCGGAAGACAATCCTCTTAGTCTTAGTAACCAACTGGCACCCTTCACACAGGCCATCACAATGTTCACGGTGGTGTATCAATATAAGGGGTGTGAGTGCAATCCGCAGAATACTGTATGTTGGATTGGATTTATTCAGTGTAAACACTCATGAAAGACTTATTTCCAGTGGGGTCCTTCTGGTGGTGATTGTGCAATACGCCGGGAGGCTTTAAAATGCATGTGGGCCAACGGTTTAAACATCTGGTCTGAAAGATGGTGCACTATTGAAATTTGACGAAAGGGAAAATTAAACAGTACAGGACTTGGCAATGGTCAAACTCGCCACGTACAGTGTATTAGTTTGATAAAATAAGTCAAATCCGAAGATAACAGGTCTGTACTCTATCCCCACTCTATCTTTACATTCAAGTAATGCTATTTTTGTGAATCTCTTGGTTTCATGCTGCGACCATTTCTACTCCTTGAGATATTTGGCATGCTTGAGGAAGAAGACGACTTGGTTGGCATGACCGGTTTATTAGGTTGTTCAGTAAGACTCTGCGAGGGCGGAATTGCGATTTCTGATGGTGTTCCATGTGTCATTGTCTTCAACATTTGGGTAATTGCAACTGGAGAAACATTCATTTTCAGCAAGTCCATGAGGATCCTACAAAGGACAATTAACAAAAAATGTTACCGGTATTAATTACAAGTATATATATATAAGTATATACAGTATATATATATACTATATATATATATATATATATATATTTTAATAGGCAAATGGGATAAACCCAAAAAACTACAAACGGCCACATAATGCATAACAATGTAAAATTTAATTATTGGAGGGAGGCCTGTACTTAACAATTCTAGTTCCTTACTTGTACACAGCAGGGCTGAGATTTACACCAGACAAATTGCATAGCTCATACAATTCTTGATCATCAGCAGACAATGAATCTTTTCCATAAAGTCCAGGAATGGAAAACTGATGGGTTTGAGCCTGTACCTTTTTTCCACCTGTCATTCTGATTTTTCCACAGACTGTCTGATTGAAAATAAAATACAGGAAACATAAAAAATAATTATAATTTTACCTATAAAAAAATGTAAAATTGTACATGCTACCTACAGCCCATAATTGCAAGGATGATACCTCAAAAGCTGAAATGTGCAGAAAGTCGCTAGGAAAATAGGTGCGCAGAATCATAACTACTGCATAACACATTGGTTAGATTAGGTCAAATCCAAATCCTAATGGCCCTTTTTTTCAATTTCTAGGCCAAATTGTGTGTGGAGGATATGTTTCCTGCGCAGGATTGATCTTTTCTAATATCGAAGTACAGCAGGCCTTATAGTGAGCTGTCGTGACAAAATGAATCTTGTGGTACGCTAGGTCAATTTGATATATTCAAGAAAGTATATCAGAAGTGATATTTTGACAAAAATTGGGTTTCAATTTTTCTGATAAGTTGAATATGTATATTTCATAGTGGCAAAAGTTCTGAGTTGAGTTAATCATGTTTTCGAGGCACATTTTGTAGGAAAACCAACAGAAAATTTATGAGTTCTCTGAATTTGAAGTATGCTTTTTGACATCTAAACTTTAATAAAACGATCTTACTCCAGTTTTAATCAACCTAAGAACATGATTTAAAGATCAAAATAAAGCTTATATAGCATACCTGTCAACCTTGAGAAAGAGTAAGATTGGGTGACACATAATGAGTGCCGAAGGCACAAACAACAGTGGCCGGGGGCCGCCAAGGGCTCCCTGTTGAGGTCAACGATTTGGGTTAAATGGCATCTAAACGATATAATAGTGATTTGATTGGAATGCGCAAGACTTACGGTGAATGCGTACAGGTTGACAGGTCTGATATATCAATAACTCATTTTTCATTTTTTGTACCACAAGACTCATTTTGCCACGACAGCTCACCTATTATGTACTATTTTTCATGAATGAAGATGAAGTGATACATTAAAATTGCATGGAAATTTGCTCGAAAATTAAGGTGGGTTGATACATAAATAAGCAGTCCTAATTGTTGGTAAATTTCCTGGGGGACAAGAACTCAGGAACAGCTTACAGCTAGCCAATCTAGACTAGGCTAGGCCTTAGTCCTACACAGCCTAGGCCTAGCTAGCCTACTGGACTGCAGTGCTATAACGTTATTTTAGGCCTTCTCTTCTACCGAATTCCCGCCTTGCCTAGCTAGGCCTAGCCTTGCTATTTTCTTGTACAGTGACAGAACGATATTTGTTTAAAAAAGAACTAACAGTTTATTTAAATTGCCGCAAACATCATTAATAAAAATTGTTAAATCAAAAAACAAAAAACAAAAAAATACCAAAAAAAGGAAAAATTAATTGGAGGTCATCTCAGTCCTGCACAATCATACGAAAAAGAAAGGCGAACGGATCGGACATCATGCATGAAAACAAAGTTGACCTTGTCCTAAGCAAGATCAAAATATTTAATTTATAAACGTTAAAACAAATTTAATTCTTTAAAATATACCTAAAATATATTAGTATTAGTAGTTTTGTATTTCAATGTATATTAGTGGTATTTTAAAGATAATATTCAACAAAATAAAACAGTTTTATAACTCAAATTCATAGATAGGTCATGTCAATTTTGTGTGTATCATCAGCAGCGGGAAAAAGATTAGTTTGCTGGAGGTAAAAGTAGCGTTAGAAAATCAAGTGTAATCCTCATAAATGTGATATCATGGCTGACGTAAAGGTACTTGAATAACTCAGAATTGTTCAAGTTATTAGATTTAGTAAATTTGTTGCAGTATTTGCTGTTAGAATACATCTATTACCATTGGATTTTATAGGGTTGAGCATGACTACCATGTTTGATGTGACCTGGTCAAATCATTACGCTTGTCTCTGACATCCATCGTGATGATTGCTGTAGAACTATCAGTATAATTTTAATTCCAGTTGTTTTAGTTGTCTCTCGCCTGATTACTGACGTGTATTTGTAAACAATGATCTAGTAGTAATGACCTTTATGGACAAAAAAGGTGGTCGCATTAGATAGATTAGGGTGATCACTAAATCTAAATTAAAATAGGCCTAGGGCCTAGGGTAGGGTACAATTCGGCCTAGGTAGGCCCCTTGGCCTAAATCATGATATTTCCCATCGCTTTTAATTTAAGCATTGCGTAGGTTAGGCCTAGCCTAGCAAAAAATACTAGACCTAGGCTAGGCCTCTAGGCCCTGATAATAGTAGTTTTTTTTATGGAAGATTGACATAAACCCAGACAGTAAACTAAGGCCTGCTCAGGGTATATAGTGTCCTCATACGCAAAAATTGGTCTGCATTTTTAAATAAAGCCCAATTTGTGTGCAGATTTTGCTGAAAATTAGGCTTTGGCCTCAACTTATTTTTATAGAATGCCATCCGTTCTGGCGCGAACCAGTCTCGTCAACCAATGTTACTGTACAGTAGTTACGAATTCTGAGCACCTATTTTCCTAGCGATTTTTTGCTCAAAATTTGAGCTAGTTTTTTACAGTATGATTATGGACATACAGTACAGACAGAAATTATTGCTTCGTATCTGGGCGGAACCTCTCGTAAGTACGTTCTGAACATAGCTACGAACCACTACGAATGTAAACTATATTGAAATATAGTTTACCAGCTTTCAACACGTGAGCAATGTTGCAATTTACTAATAAACAATGTTAGAACTTTATTGTTTTGTTATTTCCTACCTGATTATTAGATCGATCATTTTTTAAAACAGTGTTTAGTTCGCTAGAGAGGTAAACTAGTGGGCCTTCAGTATGTTCAAATTTTGATGTCATTTAGGCCTATTGCCTACATTTCCCCCTATAGAAGAGGAGAGCAGACAGTAATTATACTGGTTAACTTTCCAATTCAGAGAATTTTAATCCGATATTATTGTTCTGGTAGTAGGAATTTTCTTCTTTTAAATAATAATAATGATGAAAAATCATGTACAAATTATTACAATTTCTACATAAAGATCACGTTGTTTATTGTTTACCGTAATTTGAAGCAAAACCTGCAAAGTGATCCAATACTAATGGAACTATAGAAATCACTACCTTGCCAAATTAAGGCTAGTCATGCTAGACCACATTTTCTTCGTTTTTACTTACTGTAGCTCACAGCTTTTCAACTTGTCACAAGGTTAACCTTTAACACACTTTACTTGTTCTGATTGGCGCACACTCCGATGTCCGATGCTGGATATTCGGGGGTTGACAAGATGAACTGGCATTGCTAAGTTTTATTTTCCATTGGGTTTCCCCATGTGACATTCGGTAATTTTACAACCTTACAACGGACCTTAACTCTCCTTTATATTTATTATTTATCTTACTAAATCAAGACTGCAAAATATTATTTGATGAACAATCTTTTCACATGTGTTTATTGTCATTGAGGACATCATTTTTTGATATTTAAAAGAAGTAAAATAATTGTAAATAAAAAATAGGCTAGACCTATACCTAGGCTAGGCTAATTAATTAAAAAATAATACAGCAGTACAAACAAGTTTCTGTCGTGGACAGCGAGTGGAAGAGGTGACTTCCATGAAGTCAAGTGTACGTTTTTCTTATTGAAAAACAGCTCCATACTTTAAATTAACGGTCTAAACTCGTGCTTGTCATTCAAAAATTATCAGGCAATACATTGTTTATTCCACCAACTATGGAATTGAAAGCCAACTGTGATAGTGATAGAGCTTTTGTTTGGAACACACCAGCTGATTTTGCAGACGAGGAGCCGAAAGCTGAAACTTTAGCCATCAGGTTTGCTAATGCTGAAAGTAAGTATACATTGTAAATTAAGTCCATATTTATCGACCATGTTGTAGACTTTGTTGTACTTTTTTGATTGTTTGAAATCTGCCTTTGTTAGTCAACAGGGCTACTAGGCTAATGTTGTGTTAGTTGATTTATCTTGAGTGCTTGCTCAGTTTAAAGCTCAGCGATGCATACAGCATTAGCATGCACAGAAAGAAGACGGTAAGGGTAATTTATATTGACATTTAAATGATGATACTGAGACGGGCGGTCAGAGGTCATGTGTACAAAATGACATTTCATGCTGATGGTCTCATAACTGATATATTGTCAGAAAGTCGCTTTGAAGTGCTTCCCGATGGTTTGGGATACTAATAGTAATGTTAAGTTTCTATAAATATCTATTAAACACTGATTCATCATTACTCTGTTCTGTATAGCTAGAAGTAGTCGTAGGGAGAACAATCAATTTTTTTATCTTGAAAATACAGTTGAACTTTGCTAAGTTGAATCCAAAATGGCATTGAAAAATTGTTTGACTTAGATAAAATTTGACTTACATATTTTGAAATAATGGAAAAGACAACAATTTGGCATGTAAAACAATATCGACTTAAAAATTATTTGAGTTAGACAAAATCGACTTAGGCAAGTTTAACTGTAGAAACAATAACATTTTTGATGCCTAGTCTAAGATGTATGATACCTTTCCTGCTTGTTAGATATATATTGCCTCATCAAACATTAAAAGATATTTACAATCAAAACATTATCAGTAAGAGATCTAATAATGTACCGTAACTGAGCTGGAGGAGGATAGCCTTGTAAGCTTGTTTCCATCAAGGTCCTACAGAAATTACTTTACATTTGATAAAATGCCTATAAACTACATTTATTAATTGTGATTTTTTTCTTTGGGTACCATTTTGTAGATGCAAAGAAGTTCAAAACAGCTTTTGAAGATTGTCAGCAGTCGCTGTCCAATGCAGGTACGTTTAGCTAAATATGAGACGTTGCTTATTTATATACTTTACATTCACAACAGCTTCTGGTGTTATGCAAATACTGACTGGCTTTTATTAATACAGTATTATAATTATTTTACAATTATGCTTTTTGTTTTTAGCTCTTTCTAGTCTAACCCCCAATCCACTTGCCAATTAATGGGTGGAACTATGTTTTATAAACTGTCGCTGAGAAATAATGTATAATAAACATGTGTGTTTTGTGGGATAGTCACATGTCACTGGCATGTAAATTAAATGTTTTGATTGGTCGGTTGTTGAACTTGACCCTCCTGAAGGTGGAGGGGACACAAATATAAAGAGTGTTTTTACTAATAAAGTTATGTAGTAAGAGTTTTTGCAGTGTGTATATATGACAATCTTACACAGCTTATTCATCCTGATTTTATTTTCTAGAAGAAAAGAAAGATAAAGAAAAACCTGCTGAAGAAGAAGAGAAACCAGTTGGCGATGCCGACACGGTTGCCGAAAAATTAGGAGAAATGACGGTGAAAGATGGAAATAAAGGAGATGAACCCAATAATGATACAAGTAAAGTACAAAATGGCGATTCAAACGTGTCAAGTAAGGACGAAACGAAGGAGAAGGAAAAGTGAAAATAAATATGCACCTATCAAATGGACGTCAATCGTTATTATCTGATGCCGTTCATTAACCAACCAGGCGTTAATTAGCTGACTTGCTGAAGCACTTGGCTTTACATTAGCTGTAAAGATGGTTAAATTAACCAGGTCTTAAATGGAAAAACTTTAGGAATACGTTGTTGGATACAGAAGGAATATTTCATTCCAAATTATTCTGGATACCATCTGAGTAACTATGACTTTTCATGCTTTTAAAATTAAATTAAGGAGAATTATCACTGAACGTCATCATCAAAACAGTAGATCAGTACGTTGATAGGCTGTGTATGGGCTAATGCTAAGGTGTACAGTGTAACAAGCAACATGTGTAGACTATAAATAATAAGGATTGAGCATGATTGAAACCAGTGATGCATAACAGTGTTGTTATTATTATAGTGATAATCATATTAGGAATGATGTTGTCATATTAATAATAAGTGTCATATTAGGGACATCATGATGTTATGACAGTGTCATTTAAGGTTTTCATTACAGTCATCTTGTAAGAATGGGTTATGTTGATGTCATATTACCAATAATGTCATTTTTGATGATGTCATAAGCAAGCATGCATGAAGAGCTTGATTTGTAACTAGGTAGCTGATTGATATTACCTTAAGCTTAAGTATGTTCTGCGATGTGTGTGTGTAAGCATGTGTGACGACGGTTTGGATGGGTGACGACTGTATGTATGGGTGATAAGGGACTGGGTGACAACAAGTTAGGGTGGTGTGCGGGCAACCAATATCAAATTGTAGGTACAATAAACACAATGTCCATAATCGGAGTATCTAATAAACAGTTGATTAAATCTATAATTTCTTTGATAAATGTTGACAATGGTACAAGGTTTACGTTCCTCGTAAATTTCAACTTGCTGTTAAACGCTAGGTGGCAGCAACAGGCTTCTGACTAACACATTAAGATGCTACAATTTTGTTGCATGCTTACCTTTTTATTTCATGATTAACTTTAATTTAAAGAAAGGCTTTCATTCATATGTTTTTAAGAGCTTTTTTAAAAAGTACTGTACATTTATATTTTTAAAAGGGTTAACTTCAAAGAATAATTCACCATACAATATAACAAGGAGGATAGATCCATTTTTCACAAATGTACCATTCAGTGTTTTTTTTTCTCCTAAAATATGAACTTATTTTTAAAGGTGTACCATCTGTGATAAGCTAAAAAGGATCACTTGAAAATCAAAATTTAATGTTTAAGTTGTTTTATACGGTATATGAAGTAAAGTTTGCATTGAAAATAAGAAGTAGAACAAATTTGAACATATGTAATTTCTACAGTATAATACAATATTTTTCATTAAAATTTAAAATAACTTGTGTGATAATTTTTAATGAGAAATTAGTTGCAAGTTTTTAAAATTTAATCACAGATGGTATATTTTTAATGGCAAAAGCAGGCATGATTAATAAGTTTCCTTTCAAGTCCTATCACTGTTTATTAGTACTTCTGGCTAAGATTGAATGAACAAAATTGGACCATGTTTATGTGAATGAGTGATTTCATAGTAAAAACAAAAGGGGACCCAAATTATTTTTGAAGCTAAGCATTTACTAACCAAGAGATTTCATAGATCATTTGGTCTCTTGCTTAAAAATATTAAAATGAATTGGAATGAAAACCAATGCTTAACTATGTATTAAAGGTTTAGTGTATTTTATTCACTAAATACACTAAGCTATGCATTCTTAGTTAAGCATAAGGTTTATCGTAATTTATTCACTGAAATTTGAGCACATTTGAACAATGTGTAAATGCTATTGTGTATGTAACAGTATTTATATAACGTATGCACACAACAAATGTGGTTAAGTTTTTTTAACCACAGATGTACTGTAATTTAAATATTTCACCATAGTTATTGTGTTGTCAAAATAAATCCTAAATGCTAGCAAGTAGTTTTTTTGCTCTACTTCAGCAGGGGTGGTGCCAGGAATTCCCTGACGAGTGGTCCAAGCTCCACAACAAGATTTCCAAGCTACCCGACAAATGGTCACGTCGTGGAAGCCTAGCACCCCCTTCTTCCCCTGTCGGATTGTGTTGATTATGGTATTCTTTAAAAAAAGGATAATTTGATAGAAAACCATCTAAGTTAAGACACCCGCTGTCGGGGTTACTAACCGCCTGTTGGAGGTACTGTACCAGCTCCCTGTCGGGAAAGATGTGGCACCACCACCGCATATGATTGTATTTTCAGCGGTTGAGGTTTCATTTTTTCCCCCGATGACCTTGCTGAAAATTCTCCGACAGGGTGTCTAAGCGGGAGTCCAAAGGTCCCCGATGGGAGTCCTTTGACCCCCGCTAGCACCGCCACTGTACTTCATTGTGCACAATTAATTTGTTGATCATGCACAGTGATCTTTTTAAAAATCGGGGTCAATCGGTCACCTGGCTATTTTTGTAGTTCAAGTTAGTGTCTATTGTCAACCACTACTCACTCTAAACAAAACAAGAAACAAATTATCAACCCATTTCGAAATAGTGGATCATTCGAGCAATGCAGTTTTTTTTTAATACCAATAATGATGACTGACAGTGCATCACTCTTGGCTTTCGTTGACAAGGACAATCCTGTCGTTTTATGAATGTGTACCTAGCCATTCAACGTGCGTATGGGCCATTTTTTACATGGAACCAACATCTTAAACGTCTCATTCAGTGGCGTATTTAGGGGAGGGTGAAAAGACTTGATCGCACCCCATTCAACATTTTTTGAAGCAAAAACATCGCACTCAAGTATGATAAAAATCACCTTATTTTGCAAATTAGCTCCTCTCACTTATTACAGATAGGTGTACGTGTCTTGTCCGGATATGATGCGCAGAAACAGCAATAGATTTACAGTAATACATGTACAGTACTAAAGTTCTGAATGGGTCTTCGTGGTTCAGCGCGCTCACGCAGCCTACCACCACCAGTGCAGCCCCCTAGCTGTGGAATGATATGAAAGCCTACTCAATGGGAGTCTACCTTGTTGGCAACTTTTTAAGAAGAAACTTAAAACTGGCCTTTATCTTTTGTTTTCTCCAATGAACTGGGTGTTTTTCTCACCTCTTTTTTTTTTTTTTTGGTAGGCTAGTTAGATGCCGAAACCATTAGAGTGCCTGTGAGTAATGATCTTGTTGACCACTATTTTTAACAGTGATCTGAAATTGCAAGAAAACTGCAATGATTTTGGTTCACTGCACCCTTGCACTAGTCTGTGTGGTTTTCCTTTGTAGGTTAATTTTAGTATATTCTGTTCTTGTTTTTTCTGTGTTTCTTTAATCATCTCCTGCATCATTTTGTTTATTTCTTTACGCTCACCTTACCTTTTCTTTACTTGGACATGGCACTTAAAGACCTTGTTTATTTGCGCCTTATAAATCGACCTATTATTTTTTATTTATTTTATGATAAATAATTTGCTAACTACATTTTTTCATAAGAAATCTATACTGTATTTATTTTATGAAATCTTTCCCAACAACCATAAAATAATATTGGGGTCAGTACTGACACACAACCATAACCTTTCTGACACCATAATATAGTATATGCAAATATATTTCTGGTCAATCACTGTCTCTTATACACATCTAGATGTGTATAAGAGACAGCTCAATGGGAGTCTACCTTGTTGGCAACTTTTTAAGAAGAAACTTAAAACTGGCCTTTATCTTTTGTTTTCTCCAATGAACTGGGTGTTTTTCTCACCTCTTTTTTTTTTTTTTTGGTAGGCTAGTTAGATGCCGAAACCATTAGAGTGCCTGTGAGTAATGATCTTGTTGACCACTATTTTTAACAGTGATCTGAAATTGCAAGAAAACTGCAATGATTTTGGTTCACTGCACCCTTGCACTAGTCTGTGTGGTTTTCCTTTGTAGGTTAATTTTAGTATATTCTGTTCTTGTTTTTTCTGTGTTTCTTTAATCATCTCCTGCATCATTTTGTTTATTTCTTTACGCTCACCTTACCTTTTCTTTACTTGGACATGGCACTTAAAGACCTTGTTTATTTGCGCCTTATAAATCGACCTATTATTTTTTATTTATTTTATGATAAATAATTTGCGAACTACATTTTTTCATAAGAAATCTATACTGTATTTATTTTATGAAATCTTTCCCAACAACCATAAAATAATATTGGGGTCAGTACTGACACACAGCCATAACCTTTCTGACACCATAATATAGTAGGCCTACAGGTGCAACTAATAAAAGTTAACTGTATAACAACACCTTAGTAAAATACAGTTCTCCATATGCGCATAAAGTATTAGTAAAGGCTAGTTCTTGAAACCGTATTCAGTAGATCTAAATTATTCACTTCATCTCTGAAGTGATGCACATTATTATACTGCAATGTTTGTCTAATTGTTTTTCTTTCACCACATGATATAGCCATACTATATATGTATATGTATATATATATATATATATATATATGTATATATATATATGTATATGTATATATATATATATGTATATGTATATATATGTGTATTATATATGTATATATGTATGTATATATATATGTATTATATATGTATATATGTATGTAAATATATATGTGTATATATATATATACCATTGGTCTATACCAATATATATGTATATGTATGTATATATATATATATAGTATGCGATATTATCAATTATCTACATCTATTTAGTGAAAGACAATGGTCGGTCAGTGAGATATTGGAAATAGTTCATATAGACCTATATTTCTTAAATACTGTACAAACATTAAATTGAAAGCCATATTCGTCTACTTGCAAGCCCCAAATCACTGAAACAACATGAGTAATAGGTATGTTGCCGACATCACAATTACCTCTGCCCTTTAGATGAAATAATTAAGTTCGATTCGATAGGTCCTACCTTACGTATTCAAAAAACACGCTTCTTTCAACACAGAGTCGGCCAAAATGCGAACATATTGTTTTCCCAAAGAACTACTGCAGTAGTATCATGTTAGCATGAACTTACATTATTATAACTAAGATAATTTTTAAATATTTACAGTGCAGTGGGCCTACAAAAGCCATTCAATTAAATAATTTGTAGAAAAATATAGACCAATGTCATTAATTCATCCGTGTATTTAGTAATTTTTTTCCCCATGATCTGCTGTATTTCATTCAAAAATATACAGTACACCACATTCCGATACATATAAATAGGACTATGTTAAGTTTCTTTTATAAAAGTGTATAAAGTACGCCTGTTTATAAAATACATCTATAATGAATATAAATTTATTTTAGTCATTCCGTGTACCATGCGTTTTAACTGTTTTGGTAGCTATAATATAATATATTGTCTTGGGACATATACCTATCTGTTATAATAATACTATATAAACCAACTTTTCTAATATACAAATATATTTCTGGTCAATCATATACATCTAATTGGTTCGTAAGGCTTGGTTTACACAGATAAATTTATACGCGTTGAAGCGCACAACGCGTAGAAATCAATTCCTCCATGTGTGAAGCAAGCTCGACGTAGTTTTGTGTCATTAACAATACAAAATTAATTAGGTAATTCAAGACACGCTAGGAAATCAAGGTGATGTGAACAAAATTGAATAAACATGGTCACCAAACTGAATCTCATTGTCCAGTTATTTACGCCATGAAACCTTCGTTGACATTATAACGAGGATTAACTTTCTCGCTAACACTCTCCAATCCTGCTCCGATCGGCTGGTATCCAGCTTTTATACGGTTCACGTTAAGCGCTGGTCCCCAATCGTCTGTCGGCTTCAGCAGTAATTTTATTCTCTAAAAAGAAAAACACTTATTAGTTTTCTTAGAGAAAATATTTACATCATTTATGTTTGCCTTTTTTACCTTTACGCACAATATTTAATATAAATGGGTATCAGCTTAAATCTGGTTTTCTTAAAGTCGCTACACAGTGTTTTCAATGCAATCGTACTGCGTAGCAGTCCCGAACGCAATCGGATTCGACCGACCAATCAGCATCGTCTCACCGAAAGCTGTCGGCGACAGCGTGTAGCGATTGTATTTAAACCAAGCTTTAGGTGAAGTCTGGTTTCCTTAAAATCGCTACAGTGTTTCTAGTACAATCTTTGTACTGTGTAGCAGTCCCCGACGCGATCGGAAAGGCTCCCTAATTCGACCGACCAATCAGCATCACCGAAAGCTGTCGGCGATAGCGTGTAGCGATTGTATGGAAACCCAGCTAGCTTTACATTAAATTAACCAATTAACATCCAATTTCCAGCGTTGTCCCCACGCCTGTTGAGTTTCTGTAAATCCTATCGGGTCTTCTGAATATGTTGAAATTTAATTTATATTGGAAACGATCAGTGGAAACCAGACTTACGTACGCAATAATTAGATAGATTATCAGGGGTGGCGCCAGGATTTGGCGACGAGGGCCCGGGTCCCGGACGGGGCAGGGCGATGTCCCCGAAGAGAGCAAAGTGGGCTGGTCGGGCGTTGCTTAAAATTCTCTGAATGTGGTCCAGGGGCGAAGCCCCCGGAAAATA